CAGGAACTCCGGCAGCCTCCAGCTTCAAAGGGTTAGGACAGGAGGGGTAGGAGGGAGGATGAAAACAGCTGCGAGCCTGATTAAAGCCATGGGTGGGCCACTTCCAGGCATCGGGCCTTAAGTTTGACACCCCTGAATTAGAGGCTTAATATAATGATCCCTTATATTCTCAAAAAAGAAGGGGGGCAAATTCTATCGGAATAAGGCCTATTCAGACATCTCCCCTGTAGAACCATTGAGGGCATAATATTCAATCTTGTGAATAAGAAAGTTCTGCAGTATCATGGGATAGTAAGATAATACATATGGGGGGGTGTAAAGTTTTTTTTTGGGGGGAGACCAAAAGACAGGGGTGAGCAAACTTGGTGGGCTCTTAAGATCAAACTGCTGTAATCAGTTTCTAGGGCACACTTTTTGATCAAAGAAAACACTTTGGATTTGCCCATATCAGAAATATGATTAGCCGACATTCCAACTAAAGTTAATTTCTCATCCAGGGCTTTCATCCATATTGATTTGTGGGTATCCCATTTCAGAGCGGCTAGCAAGCCATCTTCAGCTCAGAACAATTTTAGTCTCAGTTTGAGGGCATAGAGCCAGGCTCTTGCTTCCAGGGATATTTGTCCAAATTCTGCCTGCAGTACAACATTGATATACAACAGGGGACATTCAGTATTTTTCTTAAGAACGGGGCCAGAGATTGATCAATATTATCAGAGATAGCTTTGATCCAAATAGCTGAGCCATAAAGAATAAGGGAGACCACTTTCAATGTGAAGGTTTGCACAGGAGCCCACTTCACCGCACCCCTTCCAGCAGAGTGGTGAGTATGAGGATGTTATTAATGCTAGCCTCTTTGGGGTGAGGTACCATTTCCTTAGGATCTTGTACACTGGCAGCTGGGTGTTTGCAGAGGAGGTGCCCGTTAAGGTTGATGACCAGATGTCAGACCACTGATCTTCTGTGAAGGTGATTTTGCAGTCGCATTCCCATGTCAGACCACTGATCTTCTGTGAAGGTGATTTTGCAGTCGCATTCCCATGAAAGTTGGTAGCTCAAAAGTTTAGAGTTGGTTTGATGGAGTAGTAAGCTGTATATTTTCATGATTAGACCTTTACATCCAGAGTCTGAGCTGCCTAGAAGACATTCAAATTCAGACCAGGAAGTGCTCAGATGTAGGTGCATTAACAGGTGGTCCAGCTGGAAGTAGAAGTACCATGGTATCTTATGGAGTTTTTTTTGTTCCAGTGTTGGTTTTGGCAATATACCTGTTTTTGAGATGTCAATCAGGCACATGACCTTCTGCCCCTGTATTTCAGAGCTACCATGGGATCAGTTATTTTCCCTCTTAATACTGCAGTTCAAATTAACTCTCCTTAGCAAGTTTCAGGACTGCCTGGGAGCTGCTATGGACCCCCAGACAAAGACGGTTTTTGCACCACCTTCCCTGTTATACTACCCAGACCTAACCCAACATCATACTGAAACCAAATTACTTGCTTTTTGAGATCACATACACTAAGAAGTCATTATCATGTGTGCCATACATTGTTTTCCCTTTGTTCATATTTATATGCCTGCCTCCTTTCCTTGAATGTGGTCAGCACAGTGTACCTGGTCTCCCCATCCCTCCTCACCCTCCATGGTTTTCACAACAAAACCCGGTAAGATAGGTTAGGCTAAGATAGTGACTGGATGTGTCATTCAGTTTAGGCTGTTCCAAGTAGACTGGCATAATGCCAAAGAGGCTAGAAGTCTTTTACTGGAGAAACTGGATGAGTCCCAGTGAGCTTATTCTGTTTTATTAGAGCTTTCAGGGGCACCTGAATAATGCTGTGTTCTACAAATATGCTGGGATTACCTGTCTAAAGGCTCAGTTTGAAGGTACAATTTGTTTTGTATGCATTAAAGAGAGCAACTGTTCATCCTTAGTGATTGGGAACCAGCATGCTGAACAAAATAGTGTGTGGAGAAGGGAGAGAGGGAGATAACAAGAGCAGATGCTTCCTGTGGGGAATTATAGCTTTTTCATTTGGAAGCAATAGTTGGTTACAGACAACCCATTAAGTCATAGTTGACAAGGGTATTAAAGGCACTACAGGTAAAAAGTGGAGTGGGAGTATGTGGGGGCAGCAAAGGCACTGTGTCGGGGTAGAATCTTAGTCTCAAGCTCCATTGCATTTAAGGATGAGCAGCCAACCTGCACCACAGGCACCACAAAGGACACAGACACCAGGGGTGTTGTAGAATATCTGGAAAAGAAGGCCTGATGTCAGGCGTTGACACAGTATCAGACCTGTATTGGCTGCCCCTTTCATACTAGGGCCTGTTCTCTGGACTTAGAAGACTAGAAGCAAAGTACTCACAAGGCACAGCTGCGACTGCACGGTACTGCAGAGCACATCTGAATGGCACACTCTCAGTACTGCAGTGCTGATTTGTGGCACATTGCTCAAGAACACAAACACATGAAGCTGCCTTATACTGAATTAGACTTTTGGTCCATTGAGGTCAGCATTGTCGACTCAGGCAGGCAGCAGCTCTCCAGGGTTTCAGGCAGAGGTCTTTCACATCACCTACTAACTGATCCTTTTAGCTGGAAATGCCAAGGATTGGACTTGAGACCTTCTGCATGCCAAGCAAATGCTCTGCCACTGAGCCGGAGCCCCTCCTCACTACTGCATTAGCATGATAAATGAACAGAACATCAGGTAATGTTAATGAGAGGTGGACAGGCTCCCATCACATTGTATGAGGGAAGGTAAGTGAGTTGTAATTTAGTAGCTAGTTAGGGAGGAAGGTATGTTTATCCCACCCAAAGGTATCTAAAATGTATGGTTGATTTTGTTTCCTATCTAAGCCAATAGCTGGTATATTAGCAGTGAAAGAGCTGCTCCTTGGGCCACACCGATCATGTCTTTAAAAGTGACCCCACAGTGGCTTCAGTTAGTCTGTGTGCACAGAGAACACCAAGGTTCAGTCCATGTAACATACAAATCCTCGCTCCATATCCATCCCACCTGCTATTACCAGCATTT